AGGGTGATGGTGAAGCTAGCATGTCTTAGTAAAGCTATGAGCTCAGAGCCGGGTACATTCAATTTGAGGAAACAGAGGAAGCATGTTTATTCTGGGTCACAAAGTAAAAGCCATGTGCTATAGACTGAACTGTGACCACCAAAATTCAAGTGTTGAAGCCCCAACCCTTGGGCTTTCAGACAACTAGGGTAAAATGAGATCATAGCAGTTGAGTCTGAACTAATCAGATTTGTGTCCTTATCAGAAGGACTAGAAAGTTCATTTTGTGTCTCTGCCGTGGGAGAAGCAGCCATCTGCAGCCAGCAATAGCCTTCACCGGAAACAGAGCCAGGCTAGGCCCTGAACTTGAACATCCAGCCTCCAGGACTATGCAAAATGTTTCTGCCATTTACATGCCCTCCACCCTATCTCTAGCACCTGCTATCCTTCTGATATCTGGGTGTTCTGCAGAGTGAGATCCCAGGGAAGGAATAGCACCAGCTAAGCTCTATTAACCACCAGCCTTCATCGGTTTTGTCCAGATGACTTAAATATCCCACCCAGCCTCTGGAGTCAAATTTTCTGTAACACTGGAGGAATGCTGACCTGCTACCCACCTTCCGTTAGTGCCAGAAGTTCATTCGCCTGCCTAGTGGGTTCTGCTCCCTCAAGTGTTTGTGGCTCCCTGGCCCAGCAGATGCAGGCAAGTCTCCCAAGTGCCTCTGCTTTGACACGTGCCCTTGGCCCATCTGTAGTACCTGATTGCACCTGATTGACCGCCTTGAAAGTGAACCCCAGCTGTCTTCACGTGGGAAAACTGGAGAAGTGTGGGACAAAGGCTACTGTTGCTGCTGGAGCCCCACCACCACCCAGGACCCACACAGAGCAGCATTGGCCTGGCCTATCTTTTGTGTGTAAGTGTTGGGGGTCTTCCCCATCTACCAGATGCTACTGGAGACCTACCCTACAAACATGCTCTGTCCTGAAGCCTGTCTTCTGGAGGCTTCCTTAACCATCCCAGGCTTCCTAGCTTTGAGGCCCCTGAAGGAAGAAGGAAGAGGAACCTGGCCTCGGCCCTGGGGCCTGTGCCACCATCACTGGTTCTCGTGCACCAGGACTGACAGTAAGTCAGGGCCAGCCTGTGTGGTGACTATTGGAATCATCAGGTTTAGGCAGAAATCGGATGATCTCATAGTGGCATCTCCACATGGCTCCTAGATGGGGATGTGTCTACTCCTGCTTGGTGGTGGTGTTCTCCTCCCACCTGCCTGGACAGCTCATCCTGTCTCTTCCTCACTGACCTATCCACCAAATCCTTTCTAATCCCTGTGAATGTCTGCAGCTGCCACTGCGCCTTAGTCATTTCAAGCATCTTTTCGATGACTGGTGATTCATGGTAACTTTCTAGAGGTTAGAATTGCATATGCGGATATTCTCAGAATCCCAGGGCAGCTCTGCTGTATTACTGTAATGACTTTAGCTTCATACGGTCCCCAGAGAGGGGACTCAGGAGGAGAGCTGACAAATGCAGCTGGTGGACAGGCATTCGCCTAGTTAATCCTCCCTGGGAGTCAAGGAACGTGCCCACCTGTGAGGTAGCCAGAGTTAACAGAAAATGACTGTCAAGGAATGAGATGCCTGTGGTCAGCCTTCAACACTCAGTCATGGCTTAGAACTTGGGGTACTTAGGAAAAAGGGGTAACCCAAACTGAGTCTAGCAGGCCACACTTGTCAGGGGACTCTGGTTAGTGAACAGGATCCCCATATGAGGGGAATTGACCATAAGCAGCCAGAGAAGGGAGCATCATCAGTGGAGGGCATGTAGTCAGCAGACCTCTTGTGCTGGACCCCTTATATGTATAGAGGAGCCAGAACCTAGTTGTGTGGAACATTATGGTGGGAATGGGGGAGTGGGGGGCCTGTGGCCAGGTATGTGGAGTGTATGAGACCTAGAGGCTATCACAGAAAATTGAATGTCCAAGTGGTTGTAGGGTGGCTACCCACTAGACCCCATAAGGTCTGGCTCCTGACCACTTGGGAAGACTAGCCATGCCCCCAAGGTAGACACTTTGTAACTTCATGCTTGGCATCCAGGTGGCTGGTGAGATGGCCGTGATGTTGAGTTCCAGGCAGGGACCATCAGAGGCCATCTCTTCTCAGAACTGGAAAGTATACCCTAAGATAAGGTCACAATACACTATTTGAATCTATTTATTTGTCAAAAAATCACATTCATCAAATTTTTTGCCAATTAATTTTGCCGGGTTTCACAAATGTACATGTAGCAGGTGTTTCAGGTTCTCCAGGCTAAGGACACAAATAAGGTCACATTTATGGATAAACAATAGCTTCTAGCCCCACTGGCTTCAGTAGCAGGAATCTAGGCTTTTTCCACCACAGAATTCTGTGCTCCTCCACTCACTGGCTGCCATTTGATGCAGGGGTAGGGATCTTAGGGATATCAGAACCCTAAACTTACCCCAATCCTAACATTGACCCTCCTCTATGACTATGCTGCTGGGTCAACTGCCAACGGAGGGACTCTAAGACAGGTGACTTGGGCCAGAGTCTGGATGCATGCCAGGATGAGTCTCCATGGGAAAAAGAGTCTTCTCTCCTCCCCTCACTGATTTAGAATGGAGCCGGAGTCTCACCCCTCCCGTACCACCAAGGGCTGGGATCACAACATCAATTGGACACTGCTATACCCCTCCAGGAACCTCACCCTCACCCTTTCTCAACTTCAGGTTCTAGATTCCCCACCTCTTCAATGACTAGCTCCTTGTAAACCTAGAACCCTCTCCACCATGGTTAGAGTCTTCCTTTGGACATCCCTGGGGATGGTGGGTGCTCAGGGCCTGCTTTTGCTCTGGGGAGGCCCAGGCAGCCCTAGGCTCCCTGGTAGACACAGTGCATGCAGAGAGCACCATTTTACTCCACACAGAGAGAACTTGGAGTAGGGTGGCCCTAAGACCTGCCCACCCATGGACTCACCCAAACCAGACTCACATTCTCTGCTGTATGTGACAGTCTGGCCTTCTTGGTGTCATAGGTAGTGTCTCTGTCCAGGATGACTGTGGGACAGCACAGCCCATAGGCAGAAGAGGAAGCATAGAGTCTAAGGCCGGGGACTTCATTTCTGGGTCTACAGAGCCTTGATTCTCTGCTAGCTGGTTCCTGTAGATCCTGCCCTAGAATAGGGCTCTGGGTCCGGTACCCTCACTCCTGTTCCCACTGCCACTGACCTTGCTTGACAGTCTCCATCTTACTTTTCCTTCCAGTGGCCTAGGGGTGGCTCCACAGCACCACCTGAAAAGTGCCACAGCTTGCTGCCTAGAGCCTCCTGCCCTTAGATGGCTCCCAATCTAGTCGGGGAGACAGACTCAGGCAGGAAACAGCCCTGCCTCAGTCCTTCCGGCTCACCCAAACTTCTCCTCCTTTTCCTCCTCCTGCTCCTCCTCCTCCTGCTCCTCTTCCTTCTCCTTTTCTTCTTCCCCTCCTCCCCCTCCCCCACCTTCCTCTTCCTCCTTTTCCTACTCCTTCCTCTTTCCTCCCCCTCCTCCTCTCCCTCCCCCCTGCTCCTCCTCTCCTCTCCTCCACCTTGCCTTCTCCATCTCCTCTGTAGGCAGGTTCCAGGTTTTAGCTACATCTCCTTCCATCCCTCCCCATGCAACCACCCCTCCCCCAGCCTCTATCCTGTGGTCGCTGTTCTCCCCAAAGACCTGTGCCTTACGCACATGAAGTCTCGTGGGTTTCTTCTCATCGCACTCTTTCCATCTTGCAAAACCACCCCACAATTTATCCTTCTATCATTTCACTCTCTGGAACAGCTGAGTCATTGCAAGCAAAGCTTTCAGCTGTCACTGAGTTCCTCTAAGCATGTGAGAGAAGCCGATGAAGGATCCAACCCATTCAACTGTGTAGTTTCCCCCCAGGAACTGGTGAGCATCTCACCCACCACCTTCCTCAAGACCTGGCCTCTGGGCTAGCTGGTGGAGAGTACTCCTCCATTCCTAGATCACACATTTTCCCAGCTAGCCACCAGAGAGGGACAGCTCCCTAGACAGCGCCACCAGTGCCAGCTTCCCAGCCAGTCCCCAGGTAAGCAAGACACGTTCATTCTGCCATGACTGCACCAAGTTTACACAGATTCTTTCTCATCTTCTTCGCTCTGATCGAATGAACCACTTCCCAGGCTGTCTAAGACAGAAGGCTGGTCACCTTCAAGGGAGCTTTCTTTTCTCAAGCTGAGTCTTAGTCCTGGGACAGCACTAGAACCCCAATGGCAATGGCAGAGAGACTGCCCAGCTCCAACCCTTGACCTGTCTCCTTTCTCTACATGTATCCTGTCCTCTTCCCACTCAATCCCTTTCTACCTGTCCATTCTGTCAACTTTTCACTCTGGCCCCGTGACCTGGTCCAGAACCCAACCCTCCCTCTGACTCCTCCTCATCCTTCTCATGGGTGTAGAAAGGTTTGGATGGCTTCCTATGCCTTTCTAAGGCCCAAAGGAAATGGGGCTATCCAGCAAAATTTGCCCAGCCCTGGAAATCCCTTTCTCTTCATCTCTGTGAGGTTCAGCTGTTGCCAACAGATCTCCAGAAAGGGCTAGAGAAACCAACCTGTTCCATCTTGGGGGTGTGGTCCTTCCCTAGCATTACATCACCATCAAAACACTCTCTTGATCCCCTGCCCTAATCTTTCCTCCATATCTCTCTTCCTTTCCAGAATCTTCCAACAGAACAGAAAGGTGGGAAAAGCTGAAAAACAGCCTACTAAGGCCACGTTTTGTTGTGTTTTAATTCTTCTGCTTTACACTTTTTGGACTTAGAAATGAAGAGTTCATCCAGTTCATCAGTAAACCCCAAACACAGGTGATAGCCACCAAGCAGTCTGGGCATTGTGAAAAGGTCTTAAGACTGGAGCAAAGATGTGCATAGTGAGCATCAAAGGGAAACACAGGTTGTCCTTTACAAAAATTCGAGACTGGGATTCCTGTCCTCTGAACCAGGTGCCTTCCCTTAGTCCCTCGTAATCAAGGTGTCCTGGCGGGTCTGGTGGCCCCTGGAAGACCGGTGAGCCATGATGCCCATGCGAAATTCTTTAATGACAAAGTAGTAGCAGAAAACATCCAAGCAGCAGTTGACGTTGGAGAAACACAGGGACAGTTGCAGGAACAAGCTGATGCCCTGCTTGGCTCTACACTCCAGGATAAAGCCATTCCTCACCAGGAACTGCAGGAAGAAGCCCAGGTGTACCGGGAGGAAGGAGACCACAAAGACCACAAGGTTGATTGCAATGGTCCAGATGCAGGCTTTCTGCTGGACCCAGTCCTCAGTGTGGTTCCGACGGCCTAGCAGAATGTGAATACTCCTGTAGGAGCAGAAACCCATAATGCCCATGGGAAGGAGGAAGCCAAAGATCTCCAGGGGGAAGACAACCTTGGTGCTCCAGGTACCATCGGACATGTTATGGAAGCATGTGTATGTTTCCACTTTCCCCCGGAAGCTGTAGACGGGGATGCTTCCAGTCCACACCAGGATCCAGATGGCACAGCAGATCCCTAAGGTCTTCCTGGAGGACCGGAGGTGACTGACTAGGAGCGGGTACTGGATGGCTAGGAACCTGTCCAGGCTGATGAAGCAGATGGTGAAGACACTCCCATACATGCTGATGAAGTAGAGGCACTCCATCAGAGTGCAGAAGGACAGGGAGGGAGGCTGTACCCGTGACAAGACCATCTTAAATGGGAGCGAGAGCACCAGCAGCAAGTCAAAGATAGCCAGGTTGATCATGTAGATGGAGGTGGCCGCACAGTCTGGCCGCTTCTTCTTCAGGAAGGTGCTGAAGCCACGAATGGCCAGTAGGTTGAGGATCAGGCCCAGGAGGAAGGTAGGGATGTGGACGGCCAGCTGCAAGGTCTTCATCAGCTGATCCACGTCGCGGAACGAGCAGTGGTCTCCTGTGTCCAGCTGACTCATGTTCTTGCCTACGATACCAACGGTGGATAAGAGGAGCTCTCTCACTTCAACTGATGGAATACAGTGAATGACGAATTCTTAACAACCCATTCTCAATTAGACAACACAGGCCGGGGGGCTGGAGACATGGCTCAGCGGTTAGGAGCACTGGCTGCTCTTATAGAGGACCCAGGTTTGAATCCCAGTAACCACATGGTGGCTAACAACAACCTGTAACTCCAGTTCCAGGGGATCTGATCTCCATGGGCATCATACAACATGGGTGCACTTACATACATGCAGGCAATACACTCATACACATAAAATAAAAAAAACAATAAATTTTTAAAAAAAGAAAACACAGAACAGGGCACTGGGAAGATAGATGGCTCCAGGGTCAAAGCACTTGCCAGACAAGTGTAAGGACTAGAGTTTGGATCCCCAAGGTTCATGTAGATGCCAGGTGGACATAAATAATGGCCTACTTCTAAGCCCACTGCATAGGAGGAGGAGATGAGGGTACTTGGAATGAGCTGACTAACTAGATTATCCAAATTGGTCGACCCTGGGTTCAAGTGAGAGACTCTGCTTCAATGTATAGAGGGGAGAGTGATAAATTACCCAACATCAACTTCTGGCTGCCACATGCGTGCACACACCCCCCCACACACACATGTGCACCCACACGCATGTGAATATGCATACACACCTGTATATAACAAAAAAACTCACAAAATAAATGAATGTGATTTTGAAACAATTATTTATAAAAGAAAACGCAGAATAACAATCATATCTCATCCTGCTGCCCCAATGAGACCACTCTCACTCTTTCATGCAGACGCCCTCGATTTACAATGGGTTATATCAGACAAACCCACTGGGAGTTGAAAATATTGTCAGTCAAAAACTATATTCAGTGCACTTAATCTATCAAACACCACAGCCTAGCTTGGCTTGAACATGCTCAGAATGCTTGTATTAGCCTGTGATTGGGCAAAATCATCTCACACGAAGCCCATTTCATAACGAAGTACTGAATATCTAATGCAATTCATTGGCTATTGTGTCTCAGTGAGGAGCAGAAAGGCTGTGTGGCTGTTTCACTATCATAAGGCCAAATCCTCCTGTGTGTGACTATCAGGGACTATTTACATATCATCTCACTCATTCCTCTCACTCCTTTTCTACATTCTCTCTCTCTCTCTCTCTCTCTCTCTCTCTCTCTCCCTCATACACATTTTTCCTTTATAAATTGAGCCCGTTTGTGCATGAATATCTCTCCCTTTTTTCAATCAGAACTCCTGTTGAAAAGAATTAACGCCACCAACTCTAACACGGACTAGTTTAAGCAAAGACAGAATTGCACAGAATGGAAAACATGAAGACTGCTCCTTCTGGTGGTGCATACCTGTGGTTCTAGCCATGTGAGGAGGTCGGGGGCTGAGACAAGAGGACCACACATCCAAGACCAGCTTTGGAACTTAGTGAGACCTTGTCAATTTAAACAAAGTAAAAAGAGGGCTGGGGACATAGCTCAGTGGTAGAACACCTACCCAGTTTTCTCAAGACCTTGGGTTTTGGATGCAGCTGCATCAGGGATTCAAATGCTGTTTTAGGGACTCAGTTCCTCTTTATGCATGGTACCCTCTGTTCTCTCTCACCCACTTCCTGATGTGCACATTCCCCTGGAGACAGGAATCGGTTTGTTCACTGGTTCAGGGGAAGGTGTTTCATGCATCCAGAAGCGATTAAAAGCCATCAGATTCATGCCTGGGTTTCTTTCTGTGGGATTTGAAGTTGAGCAGATGAAAGGTCTAGAGCAGCTGCAGCCTCTTCTGCCCTGAAGAGATATCCATGCAGAAAAGGGCTCCTCATGGAAAAAGGCATTTTCAGAGGGAACGAGGTGAGGGCCTGAGGTTTGCCTCAGACAAAGAAAAGCCATTAGAAAAGGAGATCAGACAAGAGAGCCAAGGGTGGAGGTATGCTTGCACAAGGAAGTGATCTGAGGTAGGCTCTGACCAGGTTTTGGTTACGAGTCTGGCCACTTTAGGAGAGTAAGGGGATATGTTACTGTGGGATTCGGTATGAAGGAAGGTGGCCCTGGAGTAGATCAAAACCAGAGAATCCACCCAGGCCTCCAGAGCTAAAGCCTCTAAAGAAAATAATGGAAATAATACCCACTCCCCACTTGTCCATCTCTCCCCACCTCCTACCCACCCTTCCTCCTCCTCAAGTAAGGCAAAGCTCCTGATGCAACAGGCCCTAGACACTGGATGGGCCATGTTCGCTGACGCACAGGGCTCTGCTTTGAAAGGTGGTTTCTGCTTGGCATCTTCTATAATTGCCTCGATAGCAGGCAGTTGGGGAACAAGTAAGGCCTATGCTGACCCCCATTTTGGACCCTCCTCCACCCTCCCTGAGGTCCTGGTTAGCAGGGGACAGGATCCCAAGATACAGAGAAGGGGCACCATCATAGATAGACTTCACCAGAGTGCCTCACCAGTGGTCAGAACATTGCTCTTAGCTTATGTTAGTATACCAGTTCTTTTTCTAATTAAAGAAGGAATCTGGGCATTCAATAAGATATTCAGAGCGCAAAAGAAGATGCCACAGAAAGTCATCCTCACTTGTACCCCAGACGTAACCATGCTTAACACTTTCTTGTATATTTTCCGCAGGAGTTTCTAATAATATACATGTTTTCATAAATATATGACATTTTTAAAATTAAAAACATTAGACCTACAGCTCTGCCCCTTGCTTTTCCACTCCACAATGTTTCTTAGCAATTGTTCCACAGCAGTACATATGAGTCAATTCTTTTTTTTCTAATAGATCCCTGAATCCATCATGCAGATAGAGCCTCACGCATTCCACCAATAACCTATTAATGAACATTTAGGTTGCCAAGTGTTTTACTGGGGATCAAAGAGCTCCACGCCAAACATTGCTGTGTTCTTCGCTTCATCACCATCGCTGCTAAGAGAACTCCATCCTTGGACTGTGGTTTATCCCTACAGCTTCCTAGGGGGCCTGTAGGAAAGAAAGAGCTTAGATCTCAGTATGCATGTGCGTGCATATATGCATGTGGGTGCAATTGCATATGGGTGCATATGGGTGCAATATGTACACACCTGTGGAGACCAGAAGTTGATATCTGCCATCTTCCTCTATTGCTCTCTCCACATTTTTCCCTTTTTGAGACAGAGGCTCTCACTGAACCTGGAACTCCTGCCCAGTGCTGGGGTTACAGACCGACACAGCTGATCTGAACTCAGGTCCTCATGTTCACACAGCAGGCACTTTACCCACTGAGCCATCCCCACCAAACCCTAGACTTGGGTATTTAAAAAAATCCTAAATAGAAGGGCCAGCACAATGGCTTAGTGGGTAAGGCCATTTGCCACCAAGCCTGACAACGTGAGTTCAGTCCCCAGGATCCACATAGTAGGAGAGAACGGAGTTCTGCAAGTTATCCTCTGACCCCCACAAGTACACCATGGCACATGTGCACACACGCACACACACACCCACACACACACACACACACACACACGATAAATAAATATCCTTAATGGAATACTATTCTCAAAATCTTTCTAACTCTTAACTTAAGAGAAAGAATTATATAGAGAGACATGTAGACATAGTTATACACATATAGACATATCCTCTATCAAGTGTTCTGTGTTAAAGATTTAATATTCACTACTTGATTTGGGTGGCTTTCCAAAGACTGTGTGTGAACTTTTCTTCAGTTCACATCACAGAGGTCCAGGAAAGCATCTCCCCTCATGATTAATGCTTTAGACATCTGCAGTGTGGAACAGCGCCTCCTAGGACTGTGCAGTGGAACCTCTGATAAGGTGGGTCTCCACCTCGGGCCTCCCTACTTGCCCCATGTCATTCTGCTGATGGCACAGTGGTAGCAGAGGCATGCTGCAGGAGGCTTAGAAGAAATGAAAACTATAAACTGATGGGCTTTTTCCTCCTGACAAAATTGCCCAGAGTGCCACAGGCCACTCTCTGACACAGCTAGCATGACTTGAAAGCTGCAAGGTAAATTCTAGACTGATGGCAAAAGTAGGCTGGAGCCTACTGCAGGGCTAAACGAACAACGTCGCAATAGCCAAAAGCAGGGTAGTCACCACAAAATCAGCAGCAGCTGAAAGCCAAGAGCTGCAGATATGAGTTTGAGTTTATGCTTAAAGAAATAACCAAATAGCAAAAAAGAACTCTGGGAATGTGTTTGGGACAGGGTCACGCTCAGAAAAACCCCATGGATGAATACACCCTGCTGGCAGGAGTTCTAAGACTAGAACTAAAGTAAGCAAGAAGAAAATAAAACAAGCCAGTGATGCTCAAAGGCCAGCCCAAATCACACAGCTAGGGACTGAGAAGACGGCTCAGTTGGTAAAGCCCCTGCCATACCAGGTGTGGTGGCTCACGCCCCTCACCCTAGCCTTGGGAAGAGCAGACACAGGCAGATCCTTGAAGCTCATTGGCCAGCCACCCTAGCTAAATTGATGAGCTTCAGGTTCAGTGAGACCCTCTCTCAAAAACTAAAAGTGGAGAGCGATCAAGGAAAGACTGTTACATTGACCTCAGGCCTGCAGACATGTACATGTATCCCTAGACATACAGGTATACAGACAGACAGGCCGGCAGGCAGGCAGGCACGCACGCACGCACGCACGCACGCGCACACACACACACACACCAGCTGGACACGACGGTGCATACCTGTAATCCCAGCACTTGAGACCGGAAGTAGGAGGATCACTTGAGCTCAGAAGTTCAAGATCAGACTTGACCACAGCGTAACCTCTTTTAAAATGAAAAGAAGGCTGAAAGGAAGGAAGGAGGGAAAGAGGAATGGGGGAGTGGAAGGGGGGTGAAGGAGGGAAAGAGAAAAACAGAGAACTAAAGGAGAACTGATTCTGGCCAAAAGCTGTCTGTCTGCATTGACGTGTCTATCTGCATTGACTGCAGCAGGCATGTGTGGGGAATAGACATGC